GTGCTGAATACTGTGACTACAATAAGCAGCCTGCATGGGGTAAGAGCAAAAGACTGCTGTCTTGTCCTTGTTGAAGGGTGACACCTTCCTATAATACTCACTGGTTACACGATTCCTTAGGTTACTGCCCTTCTACTTGATGCCTATTTCCTGATTAGACCATTTCCTTGCATCACTGAATCCAGCCAGATGGCAGACGCCTTTCTGTGTATTTGCATGGATATCAAATTAGTTCATAAAAAATCTTGATGTTATCAAGCATCCCTTTATTAAGGCCGTTAATATAAGGTCAAGGTCTTTCACATTACCAATATCAATGGCTGTGCTGGTGTAAGACAAAGCTTTGAATAACTTCTCTTGGCTTTCTGGTTGGCCCATCCTCAGCAGATCCTTGCAGGGAAGGCACCTACATTGCACACAGGTGATTAGCTCGGAAAACCATTCCAAAGTGAGAGTGGGGCAAAAAAGGTCTCTGACAGAGTGCTGTATGCTTAGGAAGGCCAAGTGAGGGCAGAGATTTTGGTAGCCTTGCATTTTCTAGCCTTCCATTTCCTGAGGAAGTGTCTGAGTGTGTTTCTCCCGTTTCTTTCACCAGGTCACTGCTTTTACCAGTTGTACAACAGGCTCAGAAATCATCACCTGAATTGTTTTGACCAGTGCCCCAAGCCTTGCCGGTAGGTCACAAACGTAAAGCACAAGAAATGCCAGCTTGCAGAGGAAAATTACATCAGTGGAAATGTAGGCAACTTAGTGGAAAAATTATAGACCAACTGGCCAACTGAATTTCGGCTTTTTCTGAACCCAAGATTTCAGTTTGATGTTTGAACCTCAGTTCTAAGAAAGGGAAAAGATGACAGCATTAGACAAATTAAATCAGAACTTTGTGTGCGCATGACAGCAGAGAGGGGAAATTGTTTTAATCATACTGAAATGTTCTATTAAGCCCAAAACAAATTGTTTGTGTTATTTTTCTTCTTTCACCATTTTTATTGTAGGTCAATTTCAAAATGGAAAGACATCATTTTAAAGCCAAATATCAAGTATTTTGGTTTCGAATGCATCAAAGAAAAGTTGTCAGGATTTTGAAACCATTCTAGTTTTCCTCCTAACCTGAACAGTTTTCAGGCAACCTCTGGTTTTATTTTTTAAGGTGATTTACAAAGCTTTTTCCAAAGCTCTTAAGAGCTGCCCCCAGAACTTCTGCTTTGGGCAAGTAGTTATTGTTGTTAAACTCCTTCATGTGTTCACTTTTAAATGCCAAGAGTCATAGTGATCATAATCTCCATTTTTATCTTATCAGGGAATCACTGTACAAGGTGTCTGCTGGGACAGCTAAATGGCCATCATCAAAGTCTCAGGTAGTCTATACAGACAACTGCTATGTTTAGAGAGGATACTGTGTTTACTGTGGCTGGTAGAACATTAAAGTGAAAGCAATGACTCATGCAGCAGCAATCGAAGAGGCAAATAAAGCAAACTGGTCCAAAACCTGGGCCTAAGGGAGTCAACCTGTAGTTAAGACTCCACACTAAGGTGCTAGAGAGTTACATCCAATTTCTGTTCTAATCCAAACTTCCTTGTGACCTTAAGCAATTCACCTCACTGCCTTAGTTCCCACCTACAACATGGTGTTAATGACTTTCTGCTTCCAGTGGGTGTTGTGGTGTAACAACTCACTTATTTGCGAGGTGCTTCAGGGCTGCAATGGAAACTCTCTGAGTCAGTAGATGACCTCTTGCCATTTCTCATGTTCTAATGTTAAATGGGCATGCAGGCTGTATGACCAGCTAATTAATTCATGTAAAATAGGTGATAATGTAGATGTAAATACAACTGATACATTTTAAAAGAGGAAATTATTTGGTGGGTTTGCCTTTAAAGGCAGAGTTTAAGAACCAGAATACTTTACACACCTAAAATATCAGTATGTATTTTCTTGCTGGAAAATACAGCTACTACTTGATAGCTATCACCATATGTCATGAACCAATCAATGACATCCTTTTTTATCATTCACAATAGCCATTTTAATGCTTATGAAATCTACATTTACAAAATATTAAACATACCAAAACTCAGAAGACAGGATTGCCAATAACATACATGTACTCTGCTGCAGGACTGGATCCGTCAAGCTCTAAGGCATCAGAGTGGATATAACTCTACCAGCAACAGGTTAGTCACTGCAAGAAGGTACTCCTGTTAAAACTATGGATTAGCTCTTCACCCTTGCAGAATTTGTAGATGTTAGACTGGAAAAGGAGGACAAGAGAAAAATGTACAGGGTCATCCAATAAATTTCTCATCTTTCCTCACAACGCTGTAAGACAGTCACTTCGGTAACCTTTTTCCAAGCTCGTGTTAAACGTGCTCAGGAAGAAAGCTTGAGTGAGTGGTGCAATCGATTGCCTAGCCATCAGCATGTAGAATCGAGCCTAGAATGCCAGCAGTACCTTCCACCAAGTGAACGACATGAGGACATCCCACTGTTGCTAACTGCTCCCTTTCTCCAATACAGGAAGGATATTGCCAAGGTGACTATCTTCTACCAGCAACTGAACTACCAGTCTGTGAACGAGTCTCCTTTACTCTCAGTAGGTTGCACTACATCAGCTCAAAACATTGTTACCTGTCATTAGTTGCGGTGTTGCTGTGTATGGTTGGAGGGAGGATTATTGGCGGCCTCCAAGATAGGACGGGATGATTATTCTTAAGGAAGAGACTTGAAAATTTCACATTTTACACGGTCACAGAAAATTACTCCCCAAATGGCAAGCAGCTATCTGACCTGCTGGCAATATGGAATCATTTCATGTTCCCCCGGAGCTCTGCTGTGTTTGATAAACACAACCCTTTGTTTCTTTCAACAGGAGAATCTGCTTCTGTCCAGCATGGGAAGCCAATGGAGTCTCTGGTTTGGATCCTCAGTGTTGTCTGTAGTTGAAATGTTTGAGCTGCTTATAGATACGCTAGTCTTGTCTCTCCTCTTCTGCTACCAAAGGTTCAGGTCAAAGAAGACATTGAAAGTAGCTCACACTCCTACCATCCCCAGTGTGAGCTTGACCCTAGAAAACTACCGAGTTGTGCAAGAAGAAGCTGGAAAAAGTGATGATTCTGTTCACACTCACCCTTCTGGAGTGACTGTTGCCATGGACAACAGTGACCTGCATCTTCACCCACTCTCCAGCAAGGTGGAAATGCCAGAGCTTTGCCCAGATGTGGTGCTTAATGGATTTAGATACATGAAGGACAGCTCTTTGAAAGGGGAACCGAATAGCTAAGGGTATGTTTGTGTGCAACAGAGAATTAATTGGGAGACTTGAAACTCCCCTAATGCTCAGGTGCTGTCAGAAAGGTTGCGAACAGAAACGTTCTCGATCCACAATCTGTGAGCACCTAACCACAGAATCACAGAATCACAGAATGTCAGGGATTGGAAGGGACCTCAAAGGATCGTCTAGTCCAATCCCCCTGCCTGAGCAGGACCACCTAGATCAGATCACACAAGAACGCGTCCAGGCGGGTTTTAACCACCGCACTGCTGAGCTTGGCAATCCTCCTCAAGCTGTTACAAGTTCGTTATTAAACCATCCATGTGTCCTGGATTCAGGCATCATGCAATGTTCTTTCGTTCCTAATGAGTATCCTGGGAGGAGAGAACTGTACTTCTGCTCTCTGGGACAGTCATCGAGTCCTCATAAAAGCCTATCCATAGCTTTTAACTTTAAAACCTTTGTGAGGGAATCAGCCTGTGGCTTCAGACAGGCCCATCTACATTTCATAAACGTACTCAAGAGAAAAGTCAGCCTGGCTGTTAATGGAAGGATTTCCAGTGGAGGCGAAGGAGTGTGTGCTCCTATCAGTCAGTGTTGTGTTGAGGATGACAGAGCAGGTAATAACAAGAGGTGGCTCTGATTACAGCTTTGCTTCCAAGACACCTCTCTGTCCTCGACCTATTACTGTTGCATTTTGAGGACAATGCACAGAATGCTGCTGCTGAGTTGCTTTTAGACTTGACCCAGATTATTTCAGTTGAGACTTACTTAGAGGAAAGAGAAAAAATGGAGTTGATGACTTTTTTATGTCACAGACGAAGTAGCTGATTTATTGAGAAGATGAAAACAATGCTGCGTTTTTGTTGCAGTCCATTTAGAAATAGAGATATTTGAATGTTGATATTTGACAGTAACTTATGTGTACATAAAATAAGAAGACATTTATTTTTGATGATGACGTTTGCACAGGAGCGTTTTAGTCTGTTATAATCTTGTTTATGACTTTCTGTAGAAAACAAGAGTTAACAAGAAATCAATGAGCTCTGTTTTGTAGCTTTTTTAAATAATAAAATACTCTGAATACAGACTATGACTGAGGGTTTAGTTTGACTTTGTTTTGCCTTCAACTGATATTTGGGTTTGTTACTACCTAACTGTTACTTCTAAGTGTTGGCTCTGGAAAAATCTTTTCCATAATGTCCATACCTTACTTGCAAGAGCCTAAATGCACAGGGCCAAATCGTGATAAGAGTTTTGGTTCCAAACACAGAGGTGAGATCCTCACAGCTTTCAGTTTGCTGCTGACATCATCGGAAGCCAAACAGCAAGATGCTTCTGAAAGTCTCACTTTTTCACTTGATTTATTAGCTTTTTTTTCATTCACAAGGGGAATCTACAGAGATGTAAACCAAACCCAAATGAATTGTGCTGTAAAACACCAAGTTACAATAAACAGGAACAGATGGGCTTCATTGCAGTGGGTGATCCAGCCTTTTCTCTGCAGGTCTTCTGCACTGGGAAATACAGCTGCTTTGCTGTCTAGCAAGAGTGATTTTATGCAATACTGTAGTCTGAGTGACCCTTTGAGAAATACCATGAGGAAAAAAGCACTGGGGACAAGAAAGAGAGAAAAGGAATCAGTCTTCTAAGCAGAATGTCTGGGCATGCCTTGGGAATGCAAAACTCAAGTGGATGTCATGCAGTCATTACTGAAAGATTACAATGTCTTAGGTATACTCACATCTATATGTGTATATACATAAAGACATACACTTTGGTCTCAAAAGAAAGCCCCACTCAGAACTCCAAGACCTGTTATCACTGGGACTAAATGGGAAGGCTAAAGGTTAGCTAAAAGGAAAATGATGAAAGAGCCTTTATGCTGTGCCCAATGCACAAAAAATATCACTGCAGAATTGTGCATCATGTAATATCATTTCCAGGAGGAGCCAATTTTGGGCCAGAGGAGTGCAGAACCAAGAATCAAGTGGCAACGTCTTGTCTTGTGGTCAAATTTGGAACAAGAGGGATGTGGCAATACAGATCAGGGATCTGTTAGCAGGGGTGTGTGCTTCGGTTTATACATGTGCAGACCCAGAAGAGCAAGGGGTGTTGCAAGCCAGGCAGGATTTTTGTATTTTAAACCTCATACTAAAGTGCTTCACTGGCTTGTAAAGATCTAGAATCAGAAAGAATGAGGAAATGTGTGTGAATTTAAAAAAAAACCCTGTCTTTATTTTCAGTTCATAGACACTGTTTTCGTGGGAGATTTTTTCACTCGCACCTTTTCAAAAAAATACATTTCTTCTTCCATAAGATATATTACATTTCAGCATGTCATAGTTTATATACATCATTCTGAAAATGCACTTTATTATGTCATGGTGCCTATACCTGTATAGTTCACACATAACCTTTTATTATTTTTGCTAACTATGACATACAACAATAAAAATGACAAAAATAATACTGAAAGCCGTGCCTTACAGAGGAGTACAACTCTCCTAATCGTGGGATGCACAACCAGCAGGAGATAGAGAGCCC